ATGTCATATCTGCCATTTCATAAACCCTTAAATATTTCTTTTGTTCGTCTCCATATAAGTTTAAGTAGCAGTTGTTGTCTAATGGAACTTTAACTTGTGTGCCATCATTCTTTTTATAGCTTACATACATTTCATTGTTATTTTTCGGAATGAGTTTATGCCGTGTACCATTTTTTAAGGACTGTACCAACTGCCATCTAAAATATTTATTTTCTTCATTGACAGAAAAGTCACCAACAATAGTTTCAATATTTTTTGTTCCTATCAAACTTTGGTATATTTCATTGACATATGTTTTATCTGCTTTATTTTCAAGGCTAACGTTTAAGTCTGTTATTTCAGAAGATGTATGTGTATGTCCAACGTCACTTTTCCTGTTTAAGGTTTCTTGTAAGTTTGTAATATCAGATATAGAATGTGTATGTCCAACATCACTTTTCCTGTTTAAGGTTTCTTGTAAGTTTGTAATATTTGCAATGGTATGTGTATGTCCAACGTCACTTTTCCTGTTTAAGGTTTCTTGTAAGTTTGATCAGATATAGAATGTGTATGAGTCTTATCTGCTTTTGTCTCTAATGTTTCCTTAAGACTTGTTATTTGGTTAATATAATGTATATGAGTCTTTTTAGAATATTCGTTTTCAGCTCTTGTCACTTCACTTGACATTTTATTGTCAACATATGTTTTGTCTGCTAGTTCAGGATGAGTATGTTCTTTTGTTGCATAAGCATTGTTAGCTCTTTCTTCTTCTTTTGCTATTGCATCGTCTACATATTCTTTGTCAGCTTTGTTGTCAACATCTGCTTTCAAAAGAAGTTCATTTATAGGTTTCTCGTTTAAAGTTCCTTTTGTTGGATTTATACAGACAGTATTGTTCTTATTGTCTTGAAATAGAAACTCATCTGTTATAGGGTTTAATGTCAGTTTTAAGTCACCCCCTTTCAATGACTCAGATATCTTAGAATAGTTTGAAAAGTTTGTTGTGTTCTTATTTAGAGCTTGCATAATGAGTTGTCGGTTGTGTTGTATTTCTCTCATAGACGCTGTTTCATTTGACATTTTTATTCTAGATAAAATATGCTTCCAATAGAAAAAGAAAATTCTAGAGTTGCTACAACTAAACCATTAGATGAACTTTTTACTAATGTCGGTCAAAAGTTTGACTTAGATACTATAAAGCATGAAGGCTATCGTTTTGACTACCCATTAAGATGGTTAAGAGACCCATCCGTCACAAAAGCTATTGGCTTTCGTAGAATGAAGTTCATTTCAGAAGCCATACATGGTTTCCCATTTACGGTCGGTTTTGAAGTTCGATACTATAACAAAGAAAAACGTATGTATGAGAAATTTGAACAAGGAAAACTTTTACAAGTTAATTTGCTTATAAACTTAGAAACAACTCTTCAAGCTTTTCAAGAAAAAATAAACGATATCTATATTGAATATGCAAACCAGTTTAACATTGACGAAGGAGAATACCATCTCGATATTATTTATGACAGGAAAAATGCAACTGTTAAAATCAATAAAATAGAAGACCTTGGAGAAAACGTTTATATTTCTACAAAATATAACAACTTGGCATGGTATAGATTTATGAGGATGTTAAATCAGCCTGCAGCATATCCAGTACACCCGGACTATTATGAAGTCGAAAAACCTAATGGAACATATGAAAATATTTTCGACCCAGATGCTATTATTGTTCATGCTTCATTTTCTGGTGCGCAAAACTCTTTCTTATGTCTGATGAATGACTTTTACGAAAAACCTACAAAGTTATATGAACCGCCGAGTGGAAGTATTTCAGACTTTCAAGTATGGTTTACTACAGATGGAAGAAAAAGAATAATTCCATTATACCATGCGTTTTACTTAGAACTTAGTTTCATATACAACTACTATCGAACGGTAAAAATATAATTTTTTAATATACCGGTTGTGGTTGCCAACTTGACTGTGGTGCAGGTTCAGGCTGTTGTATTACAGGAGCTTGTTCTTCTGGTTCAGGGTCTTTAGGTATAATACCAACAAACTGACCTACTCTTTTACCAATATTTTTGACACCGTTCCATACTCCTCTTCCGACAGATTTTATTCCATTCCATATACCTCTTCCAACATTTCGAAAGAAGTTTCCTATCTTACTGAAGAAACCCATTTTACTATATGTAAAAATCTAATGTCCGCCTAGTCTCTTACGTTTCCTGTTGAGTTCCATAGCATTCTTTAACTGGAGCTCATACATTCTGTTTCTCCTCTGGTAGAAAACATATTCTGGGTCAACTCCTGTGTTCGCGTCATCTGCATAAAGTTGTTTATATCCCACTTCAGGGTTTGTATAAAACTCTTTCCATCTCATATTTGCATACCATGGTGGCAAACCTAACGCAGCGTCATTTGACATGGCAGTTTGCATTTGTACATCTGTTGGCACTTGACCATAGTTTTGCCATTGCAGTTTGTATTCTAACTTCATTTGGAAATTTCTCTGGGTTTGGTTGTCCAGGTTGCTGTGCATTCGCTAAGTTCTGTGCGTCCATTTAATATTAGATAAAATATCTCTTACGAGTACATATGCTGAAATTTGCAGGCATTGGTTCATCTTCATATTCTCTGTACTTTTCTGCCACGTCAAATAAATAATGACACAATGGAAAAAACCTAAAACAAGTAGTCCTATTTCAAACCACATTTACTTACTAATAAAATTTCTTTATTGTGACACTTTCTCCGGTTTATAGGACCTCTCTCATATTCTATCTTGTCATTATAAACTCATAGTCATGTATGTCCTCTAGCCATTTCATGACACTTTCCAAACCATTTTATCGGATGTAAAGTAAAAGCATGGATGGTTATGTATAACGTCTAAAGTTTCTAAAGGTCTCTCAAAGTCCAGTCTACTTGGTATTGAAAATCCCATGTGTTTAGAACGGCGGGTCCACTATAAAGAAAACATTTTCCTTGTCTTTTATATTTTTCATACAACTCTGTCCAATGACATCTCACAAACTCTATACCCTCAATATATTTTTCTATGTCCTCTTTGAAAACATTTGTATAGTTAAGATATAAAACTTTTGACATAAGTGTTTCAATGTCATGAACTCTTATAGAACCACTATATAATAGTCTAGCACGATATACTATCCCAGTCTATATATTCTGCTTTTTTCAAAAACCTCTCTCACAATATTTTTCTTATCTAATGGTATACGTTCCATCTTACCTATAGGTATCTTTTCTTTTAACTCTTTCAATATATTGTTTGTGTCTGGAATATGTTTGAGACGGTTCATATAGTTGTCGAAGTCATTATATAATCTTTGAGTCAGGAAATACGGTATGACATAAATGGGATATATAGAAACTTCCACCGAACAAATCTACAAATGTTAGACCATTCGGTAGTTTCTTAAGTTCTCTCAATATAATATCTTTACATCTACTCTTATTTCCAAAGAACGGTAACGGTGGTTTTGTAAAATTCATTTATATAATAATAATAAAAATGTTTTTACCGAAAAGTGACAGAAAAGTGACAAAACATGAAAACATATATAATTTGTGAAAAGTGACATAAAAGTGACATTTTAAAAAGTGACACCATTAATATGATGTAAATAACAACAGTTTTGGTTTTGTCACCGGCTGGTTGGCTGGGGTTCGGTCCTCCTCTTGGGTCTTGGGCAAAATTTCTTATGGGCTAGAGGGCGCAACGCGCCTGGAAGCCCCACTTACCTGACCTAAAGTAAAAAAATTGAAAAAATTACTTTAATTCATCATAAAATTCATTAATTTATGACAAAGGTCACATAATTCTCATTAATAATATGAAATGCGTTATAATATTTTAGTTTGGGTTTTTTCTAGAGGTTATTGATTATATTGCAAAGATTTTATGACAATCAAGCTGAAAAATTTTGCTCATAACTTCTCATTAACAAAAGGAGTGCATATACATATACCAAATCCGCAAATCAACGGTTGATTACTGGTGAGAATTATTTGTCGTTTTAGGTGAATTTTCTTTTTAAAAAATTATAGGTAATGGCTTCAAATTAATAGTTTTCTATTAGAAATTCGAATAATTCATGGGAAAATTTGTTGCTCGATCGGATGTTTCAAAAAAATCGCGCGATTGATTTAAAAACTGAAAGCTATCATAGTCTAGATGCAGATCGATGAAAATTCTATATGACGAAGATCGTAAATTTTATGTGGTTGAAATGAAGAGTTTGAATTTGACAACATGTAATCAAGTTGCTACAAACTGAGCCATGAAATGAATGGCATGCTAATGGTACTTTGGTTTTTACAAATTGATGGTTTAATCAACAATTTTTTACAGGATAGGAAAGTTAGAATACAAATAGCTTCTCTAAAGCATACATTTGTTATTATAGCTTTCAATCAAGTTACTAAAATCTTTATCATTCTTAAATTTTTATTTTTACAGTTTAAAAGCAAGGCAGCAGTATATATCTTAGGAGATATAACTGGTAAGATATTAAACCATAAAATTACATGATAGAGAGGTATGGATCAGGCTCGAGAAAACTTTTCTGAAAAAGCGATGATTCAATTTGAAATGTGACAAAATCAAATCATTCAGAATTTGAAAAAAAAAACGGATTCAAATACCAGTAAATTCATTTCTTGAAATTTGATGCAAAAATTGCTATGTTTTAGTATACAATTACCAAATATCTTATCAATTTTCTGTTCTTCAATGGCATATAAATTTGAATTTTTACAAAACTGTAATGATAAAGTATTAATATCTATGTAATCATTTTCATTACCTATACATTTTAATTTTGGCATCAGATCAGAGATAAATCAATCATGTATTGAGATGTTAATGGGATTTCCTGCCACATTATATACCAAATTTGTAATTATATTTCATCAAGATTTTCCTATTTTCTCATTTCAAATGTTGTATAAATAACGATCAAAAAGATTTTCATGGAAGAACGGCTCTTCATATTATGGCGCTTAATAATAGTAAGGAAATAGTTGAAAATCTTATTTCATATGGTGCAAATATCAATGAAAAAGTTAATGATGGGGAAACAGCTCTTCATTATGCAGCAACGTATAACATAAGAAAAATTCCGAGTTCCAAAAGACCAATCTGGCAGAAAACGAATCTTTGGGAGAAACTTATATAATTAATGGTGCACTTACTACTTTCTGACATGCTCTCATAATATTAACATATCTTTATTTTAAAAACAAAAAGATTAACAGCTATATGATGTACTAATTAGTGATTAGTAATAACTTTTTCCCAACCAAAACTATTAACTTTTTATCATAGAAAATTGGGAAGTAAAGTTTATGTGTCAAAAAAATTGAGAGAATGTCAGAAAGTGGTTAATGACCCTTAATTATATGAATTTCATCAAGAAATCAAAAGTGAGTCGATATTTTGAAATAAATTTTATTTTAGATAACAACAACAAAAAAAAGAATCATATGTATGAATTTTACTTTTTGGCCCCATATTCAATAAGAATTTCAGCCGTTTCGTCATTATCGTGAGATGATGCAATACGAAGAGCTGTATTTCCATTTTTATCTTTATCATTGAAATTTGCGCCATGTGAAAGAAGAAGTTTGGCTATTTCTGTACTGTTAAATTCTGCTGCATAATGAAGAGCGGCTTTTCCAAATTTATCTTTTTTATTGACATTTGCACCATGTGAAAGAAGAACTTCGACAGTTTCTTTACCGTAATGTTGTGATGCAATATGAAGAGCGGTTTCCCCATCATTATCTTTTACATTGATATTTGCGCCATGTTTAATAAGAATTTCAGCGGTTTCTGCACCGTTTGATTCTGCTGCATAATGAAGAGTGGTTTTTCCATCATTATCTTTTTCATTGATCTTTACACCATGTGAAAGAAGAAGTTTGACTGTTTCTGTACTGTTAAATTCTGCTGCATAATGAAGAGCGGTTTGTCCATCAATATCTTTTTCATTGATATTTGCACCGTGTGAAAGAAGAAGTTTGACTGTTTCTGTACTGTTAAATTCTGCTGCATAATGAAGAGCGGTTTGTCCATCAATATCTTTTTCATTGATATTTGCACCGTGTGAAAGAAGAAGTTCGACTGTTTCTTTCGAATTGGCAGATGCTGCAGAGTGAAGAACAAATTTTGTATATTTATCTTCATCATTGATATTTGAAAATTTTGAAACAAGAAATTCGGCTGTTTCTATTCTATTATGGACTAATGCAACTGAAAGTGCAGTCTCTCCGAATTCATCTTTTTCAGTGATATTTGCACCACGTGAAAGAAGAATCTTGACCATTTCTTTATAATTATTATATGCAGCATTATGAAGAGCGGTTGATCCATCATTACTTTTTTCGTTGATATTTATACCATGCGAAATAAGAATTTCTGCCGTTTCTTTACTATTATAGTTTGCTGCAATATGAAGAGCAGTGTATCCATATTTAGCTTTTTGATTGATATTTATGCCATGTGAAATAAGAAATTCTGCTATCTCTTCATTATTATACTCTGCTGCAATATGAAGAGTGGTTTTTTCAAATTCATCTTTTTCATTGATATTTGCACCAAGTGAAAGAAAATATTCGCAAAGAGATGTAATATTAAACCTCGCTGATTGAATAAAGCATTTATTAATATCATTAGTTTGATCGAAATAAACTAACAATGCATCAAGATTATTATATTTTGCACAATAAGATAAATTGATCTTTAAATCGTACTCGTTCATCAAGAATGTAACAAAATCAATGTTGTGTGAAACAATAGCATATTCCATGCATTCTTTATCCGGTCTTTGATATTTCAAACATTCACTCATGATCTCTGGATTTCCACCTAAAAATGATAAACGGAGACAATTTCCGGTTATGCTTGAGTCGAATTTCGATCTTAATAACTTGAAACAATCAACAGCTCCATGGTAACAACATATTTCAAGTAATGAATAATCGCCATCATAATATACATACAATTTACATTTAAGGCCCCGGCTTTGATCAAAATCATCTCTTTCTGTGAATTGGATGAATGTTTCTAAGTCATTATACATAATTGCCCTGTAAATTGTATTTTCTATATGAATATCCAGATTTTCTAAGTCAATTTTTTTAAAATCGGCAGATTTGTCTAATTTAATTCCATATTCTTTATAAAACAGGTAGTTTGGAATTTCTTCAACATAGTTGACCTCTTCCATATGATAATCATCAGATATTAGTTTGGCAAGATATAAATATGACTTTGTATAGCGATTATTAAAAGGAATTATATATAAGATATCTCTTATAATTTTTTTGGGAGTATATTTCTTTGAATCAATCAATTCTGTTTTGATCATTTTGTAAATCTCCTTTAATTCTTCTTCTTTGTCCGTTTTCAGCTGATATAACGCGATATACGAATCAATGTAGTATTTATAGATACTACGGAATTCGTTGTATTTATTTGGATGAGGGAACAGGACAAATTTGCCACACGGCACTTTTTTTAAAAAAAATTAATGGAGCGGAGCGATACTCTGCTGCAGGAGCCCCAAGGCTCCCAATCATTACGAAAGGGAGCCTCAGGGCTCCTGAGAATCCATCAGCAGAGGCCTTTTCATTTGGCCTCTGCTGATCAAAGATTCGGCGAAGCCATTCTTCGTCTCAGGAGCCCCAAGGCTCCCAATCATTACGAAAGGGAGCCTCAGGGCTCCTGAGAAACCTCTTTGAGAAGGTTTTCTTAAAGAAAACCTTCTCAAAGATGATTGTCAGCATTCACTCAAAATCTACCAAGCGTTTCAAAGTTTCAAATCTATCTGAAATGAAGCTTTGAATCTCTTGTATATCTAATTGTAGAGGTACCTTTTTAAAATGTCTTCTATTGGTTAAATTTAATCAGTAAAAGTCATTTTGAAAAGGTACATCTCTATAATTGCTATTGAGCATTCACTCTTGGAACTTTGGAGCTCTTGTGTAGTGCATGAAAACTCCAAGATTCTAGCATAAAACATATATCATAGACATAATTTCTTCAAATATAATTTAAGGTTATTTTTTAAAAATTAGAAAAGCGTAATTTAAGGTTATTGAAAAGTGACACCTGGCAAATTTGTCCCGCACTCATTTGGATGAACGTCTTGATTGGACATTAAAATTTTTTTAATATGGCATTTTAGTAGAAATTTAGATCCTGCTTAATACATCAGTTGTGAGTGTGTTATACGTTGGTGTTGAAAAGAAAGAAATAAAAATTGAGATGTTTACAAATAAAGCGCCAAAACGATTATTTTCTACGTTTTTTTGAGAGGAAAAAAATGAAAGCTTTCAAGAATGCTCTCAAAGCCATGGATGAGGACAATGTAGAGCAATTTAAAGAAGCTATTGCAAAAATAGAAGATATTAATGGAATTCATTATTAAATTTATGGCATTTTTCATAATTTCAATCAAATCCGTTACTTCATCAAGCAGTTCAAAAAAGAAAACCACAATTTGTCGAAATACTTGTTAAATCTGGTGCAGATCCAAATAAATTCGTTCATCATTTACTCAAAATAAAATTCATTATTCTTTTATTCAGGCATTCTTTTTAATTTTATTTAGCTCCAATGCATTTAATCGGTGGCAATTTCGATGTACTTAAGATTCTTGCTGAAAATAGCGGAAATATTTCTTTAGTTGATGCAGATAAGAAAACGCCATTATTTTACGCCGTAGAAGGTCAAAATCTAGAATCTGTTAATTTCTTACTTTCTCATGGCGCGACAGCCCATGTTCGTTGCTCTGATCAGCGCACGCCTCTTCATGATGCATGCGAGCGCGAGTCCACAGAAATAGTACATGCTATTCTTGGCTGTGGAGCTGAAATTGATGCTCAAAATTGGCAAGGCCAGACTCCAATGCATCTAGCAACGATGTATGGCAGAATTGATAACGTAGACTTACTCCTTGGATGCGGCGCCGACATCAACGCCCAAGATAACAAGAAATTTACCCCTCTTCATTACGCTGCAAATTGCAATCACGCAGAAATCGTTCAATACCTTATTAATGCAGGTTGCGACCATCAAATGTTGAATGATGAAGGCTTAAGAGCCCAGGAAATCGCTCCAGAGCCACTCAAATCCGACATTACAAATTATATGATTAATTGCTTGATGTCTCCAAGGCGTGATGGTGAGACACCTCAAATCACACCAGGAAAATGCATCCTTTGCCAAGCAGAATGCCCAGTCTACACCTTCGGACCATGTCCACACGTACAAGTCTGCGATACTTGCTATATTAACAACAAGCAGATCCTTAAGACGTGTCCAATATGTTCGAAGCCGTTAAAGAGACTGATGGTAACTGCTGAAAAATTTTAATATTATTTATTCTTTTTTTTTTTGAAAATAAAATATCGAAAAAAATTTGGGAAAAACAAAAGAAATGAAATATTTACAAAATAATTTTTTTTTGAAAATAATTTTTTTTCATATCTAACAACCACAGCCTTCAGAAGGTTGTTCAGCAGGTTCAAGTTCCTGGGAGTGTATTTGACTCTTCTTCTTCATCCATTTCGATTTAGCTATCAAAACAGCCAATTCATGGAATAATTCTGGAATTCCTTCGCCAGTTAAAGCCGAAGTTGGCTGGAAATGGTATCCTTTAGTCTTACACCATTGTTCTACTACGGTTAAAGGTACCTCACAGTTCTCAGTCAGATCACATTTGTTTGCTGCGATACAGATAACAGTATCTGATCCAGCAACGTCTGTAAATGAATCTATCCAAGAGTTTAAGTTATCAAATGTTTCTTTTGCTGTTAAATCAAAGACAACAAGGGCTCCAGCTGAATTTCGGAAGTAAATTGGGCCTAGTGATCTATATTTTTCTTGTCCTGCTGTATCCCAAAGCTGAATTTCTATTGTTTTGCCATCTACTTCTTGGGAATAAATATGATAATTCGCACCTACTGTGCTTTGCTCGCTATTATTGAATTTATCTAATATTAGACGGTTCAATATTGATGTCTTTCCTACTGAAGAGTCGCCAACAAGAACAACTCTGATAATGGACGACTGAACATCTCCATACATAAAATTTTGACAGAAATTTTCCCACAATTCGTGAGATCAATTGTTAACATCGTTTTGGTCGAATCGTAATTTTCCACATTCGAAAAGATTACAACCTTTCAGATTGTTGACAAATTGACATAACGCTAGTTTCGCTTTCATTTTTGCATTTTAATAATGTGTGTTCAACATGCTCATTAATTTATGCAATATAATCAGTAAAAAACATTTTTTACTCATTGAAATCCTGAATCCCTTCGATCGGAGTTCTCAGTTGTTAAAAATCAACATTAACCTCAAAATACAGGCGTAGTAGGGGATCGATTATTCATAATACGACTTCATTTTTAACTTTTTTCAACCAATCAATTTACAATTCTTTCAATAAAATTATAGTATACGAATCATTCATCACAGTTCAAACAAATACATTAGAAATACCACACACAACTCTTTCAATTATGAAGATATTTCAAATTTTGCTGATAGATTTCTAATTGGATACTAAACTCAACTATTATTTGCATTAATTTCAAAGTTCTACATTTGGTAACTAATAACAATATGATTTACGTCTTAAATATATATAAAAAAAGTTAAATGTTTCTAATATAGTGACAGAATTTTATTAAATTTAAGCATGGATGCGGGCAACACCAGACTTGATAGCAGCCTGAGCAACAGCCTTTGAGATTGTCTCTCTGATGCGTGGATCGAATGGCTTTGGAAGGATGTATTCTGGTGTAAGTTCAGCATCGGAAACAAGGGAAGCGATAGCGCGAGCAGCAGCGATGTTCATCTCGTTTGTGATGCGGGAAGAGCGGACATCGAGAGCACCACGGAAGAGAGCTGGGAAAGCGAGAACGTTGTTGATCTGGTTGGGGAAGTCAGAACGGCCTGTACCAACAACAATAGCACCAGCTTCCTTAGCTTCATCTGGCATGATTTCTGGTGTTGGGTTAGCCATAGCGAAAACGATTGGCTTCTCGGCCATGGACTTGACCATTTCCTGTGTAAGTGTCTTTGGAGCGGAAACACCAATGAAGACATCGGCGCCCTTGATGACATCGCCGAGTGTGCCTTGCTTGAGCTCGGAGTTTGTGATCTCAGCCATCTCGACCTTGATGTCGTTCAAGCCAGAGCGGCCTTTGTAGATGGCGCCTTGTCTGTCTGTAAGGATAACTTTCTTTGGATTGACACCGACAGCGACGAGGAGCTTGATGATAGCGATACCAGCAGCACCAGCGCCAGATGTAACAATCTTGACGTCTTCGATCTTCTTGCCAACGATCTTGAGAGCGTTGAGAAGAGCAGCGAGTGTAACGATGGCTGTGCCGTGCTGGTCATCGTGGAAGATTGGGATGTCGCAGATTTCCTGGAGACGCTTCTCGATTTCGAAGCAACGTGGAGCAGAGATATCTTCGAGGTTGACACCACCGAATGAACCAGCGAGGAGGGAAACAACCTTGACAATTTCATCGACGTTCTTGGAGCGAACGCAGAGTGGGATGGCATCGACATCACCGAAGCGCTTGAAGAGTAAAGCCTTGCCTTCCATAACTGGCATGCCGGCTTCTGGTCCGATATCGCCTAAACCAAGGACGGCTGTACCATCTGTAATAACGGCGACTGTGTTCCAACGGCGTGTGAGCTCGTAAGAGAGTTCTGGGTTCTTCTGGATCTCAAGGCATGGCTGAGCAACGCCTGGGGAGTATGCGATGGAAAGATCATCCTTATCTTCAACTTTGCAGCGAGCAACTGTTTCGATCTTGCCACGCCATTGCTTGTGAGCGGCAACTGAGAGGGATGCGTAGTCTTTCTTTGCAGACATTTCGAGAAATGAACTGGATTCAGTGATTGTAAATTTGAGAGCTCACTTGGTCATAAATTGAGAGCGCGTAAAATTTTTCGCTAAATTGAATAGTACTCTCACAATTTTTGAAAAGATAAAAATTGATTTAAAATTTTGTGTTAATAGTTCTCCATTAATTTGACAAAAATTATGATAAGATTTATTAAAGATAAGATGATAAAAACAATTTATAAAACCCCGAAAAATGTTGGGTAAAAATTTGAAGAATTGAATAGCATACTCGCTAAATTCCATCTTAATACTAATAAAATTACTTAATATCCTGTTTAAATAAGATTTATCAATGAGATTATGAAAAATACATAATTTTCAGATTTCAAATTCCAATTGCATTTTTTTCCGCGAAAAATACAGCATACAAAAGCAACACAAATAACAAGTCCATTCAAATCTTCATGCCGAAATCGATAGATTGTTTTCTGGAAAACATTTTTCTCAACATGGCTATGTTGGCCACAAAAATAGCTTTATTTTATTACAAAAATGCTTAAAATGTTGCATGCTAAGTTCGGTCAACGATAGGAATTGAGGGGAAATTAATCGTCGAGGAAGTACGATTATGTAAAGTAAAAAATGTTGTGGGATTTTTAATATTGTATATAATTTTATAATAAAATTTTTGTGAGACATTTTAAGAAGCACATATAATTTTTTGAATTTAAAAATTAAAGTAGTGTTGAATGAATTTATTGATTAATTTAATACGGATATTTCTCAAAATTAATCAAAAATAGGTTTTCAGAGAACTTTTGAGATATCTTTTCAAAATGTCTTTTTGAAAATATATAAGTATTATATCAAATTGAAAAAAGGTATTTATCAAAATTCTAAATTCTTAATAAAAAATAACTTTTCAGAGGATTGTGATTTTGAAAGCATGAGTAATAAGTAAAAAATATCTACGATTTTAAGGAGGAATTGTTCCTTATGAGGTATACATTATAACTATATACCTCATAAGGAACAATTCCCTCTTGATAGCTGGGAAACTTTCTCTGAATAACTTATCATTTGGAGAAAGTTTCCCAGCTATCTATTAGAAACTAAAGGCTGTGAGGCACTAATATATAATCAGTGCCTCATAGCCTTTAGTTTCTTATTAAAAACGAGAAAACTTGTTCGAAATGATAAACAATTTCGAACAAGTTTTCTCGTTTTAAGGAGGGAATTGTTCCTTATGAGGTATACAGTATGAATATATACCTCATAAGGAACAATTCTTTCTTTAAATGGGAGAAACTTTGTCCGAATGTTAAACTATTCGGACAAAGTTTCTCCCATTTGTAGTGGAGATGGAAGGCTTTGAGGTATATTATATTAATATGTACCCCAAAGCCTTCCATCTCCACTTGAAAGTTCCAAAACTTTGGGTTAATGTCTTGCAATTAACCCAAAGTTTTGGAACTTTCTAGAAGGAATTGCAGGGTAAGAGGTATATATTCATACTATGTACCTCTTACCCTGCAATTCCTTCTTAAAATGGGAGAAACTTTGTCCGAATGTTAAACTATTCGGACAAAGTTTCTCCCATTTGTAGTGGAGATGGAAGGCTTTGAGGTATATTATATTAATATGTACCCCAAAGCCTTCCATCTTTATTGTACAATTTAAAAATTCAGGAAAAATGTAATAAGATTTTTATAAAAATTAAGCGTTTATTCGTAATTGTGTATTCAATGGTTCGGTATTTCTTTGATTTCGAAGTGTCCATCAATCATAACTCTCCAAAATGGCGTTTCACCCTGTTTCCAATGTGGTGTCTCATTGTAACACTCTTCTGGAGTCATGGGGCGAAAACCCTTTTTGGGAAGGGTTTTATGTGGTACTGAGTTGTAATTTTTCCTGAATTTATCAAGAAATTCTTGAATTTGTTTTGCATTTGAAGACCGGCCGACATTTCTTTCAAGAGACGGCCAGAGCCTTTCAATCTTGCCGTTCTGGCGCGGCATATGGGGGAGAGTGTGGCGGATTTGAATGTTGTTTCGCATGAGCCAATTATAAAATTGGCCCATATTCTCTCCCCCGTTGTCGGACCAGAAACAAAATGGCTTTTGATATAAGCCAATCGTTTCTTCGGCAACTCTTGTTGTAGATTCGGAAGATTTATTTGGCAAAATTTTTAAAGCCAACAAAAACCGAGATTTATCGTCTATTATACCATAAACAGGTAACCTCTGTGAACCGTATAAAAAATGAACATCTACATGCCATATGGTATCAGGTTTTGTTGCTTCATATGGCGTATAATATTTTTGAGGGGGCCTGTCACTTTTTGGTTCTTTGATCTCCAAAATACTGTAAATTCTTCTGAGTTTATTGTAGGAAACTGAATAAACATTTTGATCCATGTTTAAACGCCAAAACATCTTTTGGATTCCGCACTTATATTCCTGAAATTTTTGGAGAACATATTGCAAATTTTCAGGAGTAATATCATCTGGTGCCGGACCAGGTTTAACGTTTGGGGGCGTTAAATTTGCATTTGTGTATGCTGCTTTAAGTGTGTTTTTCGAAATTGATCTAAATTCACACTTCATTTCATCCTCGTATGGAACTCGCTTACACGCAATTAAATAATTGAGTTCGCGAGATTCAAGTTTTTCGCGTGTTTGAATTAACCACCAAGAAGGAATGGTTGGTCTACTCATAATAAAAAATGAAAAGCCAAATTCTCTCAAAAAGTTAAGTAGGACCAATTTTTTATAAAAAAAATCCAATTCCATTATGAATGTTAATTAATTTATATAATTATTGAATAAAAAATTTTCTTTGAGATTATGAAAAGTTCTTTGAAAAGTTATTTTTTCTCATTTTTAAATATTGTATTAGCCTATTTATTTATAATCCAAATTAAATAACTTTAAATTCAATATTTAAAGAATAATTTTGAAGGAATTGAGTTACTTTCCCCGATGATAAAATTGAGAGGTTTACATTTTGACCGAACTTAGCATGCAACAAAAATAATGTTATTTTTCAGTTTTCACAATTTTAGGAGAAAATAATTCTATTCCTCCAAAAGTATTCTTACTGAGACCATCTTTCATGTAACTAATAATACTGATAATGAAACATTACTTTTCTTTAAAAATCCAATAAAAATAAAAGAACAATTTCATATACCACTGAGTAAAATAAATATAAATCCCAATCATGAAAATCAGAAATTATTACATCAAGGTTACCCGCTCATCGATTCTACCAACTAAAATTCGGAGTTGAATTCTGAGTGTCACATTATTTTTATAAGATATATCCTACTTTTGACTTGTCATTCGACTAAAATCCTTGCTTTATAAGTCATGTTTATCTTTTTACTTCTGTTTAATCATTACTAATTCAATAAATAAAATTGCCTTTCAAATACAACCTAACAGATCATACTAAAGGAGAAAATAAAGTATTTAAAGAAAAAGATTACAAATATACATTTGAATATCCTTGTTCATTAACATATGACTGTGCTCCGTATGAAGTTAATTTTCCTCCTGGAAAATATCTCCTTGAAGTTTGGGAAGCGCAAGGCGGAGGATATTTCAATAACAATGGCGGCCCAGGAGGATATTCAAAAGGTATTCTTTCACTGAAGAACGAAACAAAAAGATTTTTATATATCGGCGGAAAAGGAATGGCAACTGAAACTCCCGGAATTCAACGAGGAGGATTCAATGGAGGTGGAAATGGATCTTATTATAACTCAGAAAATATTTATGGTGCTGGAGGTGGTGGAGCTAGTGATATTCGCCTCGAAAATGACTCACTTTACCATCGCATCATAGTTGCGGGCGGTGGAGGGGGGGTCAGGATACTCTGCCACATCTATTTATGCTTATCACAATACAGGAGGATCAGGTGGTGGAGATAAAGGTGGTGATGGAACGCTTAATCCTTCATATCTAGAATATGCGGCCTATGGTGGAACACAAACAGGTCCAGGTACAGAAGTAAGTCATGATAATCGAAAGGCAGCATCTTTTGGATTTGGAGGGTCTGGTCATTGCTCTGGATGTAGTCTTTCAAATTCAGGAGGTGGTGCAGGTTGGTATGGAGGAGCTGCTGCTGGTGACGATGGGTTTAGTGCTGCAGGAGGTTCAGGATACGTCTTTTCTATTAACTCTTTCGTTCCTGATGGTTATAATTATAAAAGAGAATATTTTCTAAGAAAACCATCAATGAAAAGTGGAGTTAAATATGGAGATGGCGCAATCAGAATAACACTTCTAGACTATGCAGAAGTTGAGAACATTAAAATTCAAGGCTGTGGCTCCCAAGGCATCACTTTTGCTCAAATTGCTTCATTCATTACACTACCTACTGTTTCATAAAGTTAGTATCCCTAACTTGGGTACGGCGGCACTGCGCGCCTCCGTACACCACTTAGCGGTTTTGACACTTTATGAAACCAGTAACGTATATTTTACAACACAACCATAACACCAACTTAACCTTAAATATTTGCAAAACCATCTGACGCATAAACGACTTCACTAACGAATTCACTACCGTCCTCACTAAATAAAAATAACCTTATTTTATTTATTTTCCAACTTTTTTATTTCATTGTAAAGACATGTCTGACTACATTTACTATGACTCTTTCCCAGAACGTTTCCGTGAGCTGTTTAAAACCCAAGTAAAACTGAGAAACATGCATTTTAACAAAGACAGACCCATTGACGATGAAAGAAACCCTGAATATATTACAATCCCTTATGACGCAAAGTTCATTGCATACATTCCTTATGGTCGCAGAGGAACGAAAACTATTTCAACAAAGAACAAAAATTATTTCTGGAGCGATGAAGAAAATTGCCTTATCTACATAAATGCATACTTAAATAAAGCTACATATTGTACAAAAGAAGGTTGGACTGGATTTGAGCTCTACATATACGACGACGATGGAAACAGACGCTGTGTATACCCATACGATAATATGTACCATTGTTTTCATCAAGCATTAAACGAATACATAGTCAGTAAGGGTCTCATTCCTGTTGAGTAGATATGCTTTATTTTTGTTCTGTCATTTATATAAAAATAATTTTAAAAAATAAACTTAAAAATAAATGATATCACTACCTTCACGCGTATGAAAACATAGCGCAAAAATAAATTTAGGGTAGAAGGTTAGATCTAACCCGATTTCTAACCTCATTTCTACCTTAGCCGCTTTGCGACTCTGATTGCTTTAGCTTTCTCTTGAATTCATTGCTTTATAACTCTCTTCCTTGGTTTCTTCATTTTTCATCATTGACTTTATCCAACTCTTCTAACTTCTTCTTAAGTTCAGCAATGTTGTCTTCATGAAGTTTAATCTTTCTCAAAATTCCTTCTTTATCTAATGGTTGTTTTATCTTTCTAAACTGAACTCTACCATCTTTCATAGTATGAATGTAAAAACCTTCTGGAACAGTTCCTGATTTAATGTATTCTACCAAAAACTTTTGTTTCATTGCTTCAGTGACTTTATTTGTCATTTTACTCTAAATAAAATTTTAATATTAAATAAAAATAACGTTATTTTTTCAGTAAGGAAACGCAGGAGTTTTTCGATTTATTTGAGGAGTAGGTTCTGGTTTAAATGTTGGAGTCGGTTTAGGAGTTGACTTTGAACAGGAGTTTGTACTTTCATAGGTTCAGGAGTCATTGAAGGTGTTGTTTGTGAAGGTGTTGGTTTTGACGTTGGTTTTGGCGAAGGTGTCGGAGTTTGTTTAACTTCAGCTACTTCAGTATTATTTACAACATTTGCTTTGTTTCTTTCAACATCATAACTGCTCCTGCTGTAGCTAGCAAACCTAGTGGGAGACCATATCTTATATAAGGACTTGACCAAATGCTATTTTTGACAGGAGCTGGTGGAACACCTAACCTTGGTGAGACTGCTCTTTGCCATTGTGCAGCTCGTAAGAAATATTCAATAGGTGCTCCATAATCGTTTGGTAAAGTTTGTTTCATAGATGGTGAAGGTTCGCGAGAGCTTGATGAAGAACTCATTTATAAGCTTTAAAAATAGATGTTCATCCTTTATTCCTCACTGTCGTCCGCAGCTAAGTTATAGTCATCTAATCTTATTATGGGGATGCCTGACTGTCTTACCTGAATGGCAAAGCAACAATCCCTCATAAATCCAATAAGTGGCTTTGGTACATTTTCAGTTGCTAGTTCAATAGGTCCTTTAACAAACAATTTGTATGTTATTGGAGCAGTAGATGTTTGACCTTGCTGGAAGCAAAAGTCCACTTCTGTTGGAAAACCACATAAGAAATGTGTGTTGTCATAGCTATCCCATTTATGTTCCACACTACCATCATCCACCAATGACCTCATAACATCTTCATTAAATCCTATCATATCATTGTTTGTATTGCAGGCGTTCGCAACCATTTCATAAAATACAGGTCCATATGATTTTTCAGGTTCTGCAGGCATATTTCCATAAGTTCCCATGGAAAGCTGAAGATATTTAAACTTAGGGTTCTCAAAATTAACATAATAGTTGTCTTTCTTTCTAAATAGTGCCCAAATACTTTTAACATTAATAGGCGTATAAGCTGCTGTAAATGTTGCACTTGAACTATCTGTATTCTTTGAGAATGAACCGTCCATAGGAATCCAATCCATAACTTTAACAGGAAAACATAAAGCCTCGTTTGTATAATGTTCTACAAGTTCTGTATAAATGTTAGGGTCTAAAGAGAATGACTTTGGATGAATGAAACATTCATTAAAATCCATCTTTGTTCGAAATAGTTGCTGGGTTACAGTTGTAATAGTAACTGTTCCACTAGCTTCTACTGCCTTCGTTATCATAGTGAATGGTTCATTCCATGGAACAAATTTATTTGTCGGTGGATTTGAATCTGAAGCAAATGCAACTTTAAGAGTTGGATTGAAAGCAATGATATCATTTACAGATATAGATGTGCATTGTAAGGCGTCGCTACTGAACTTTACTTTAAGCTGAATGTTTCCTGCAAAAGCTGGAATAAATCGAATAGCTTCTAATGGAAGGAATCTTCTAACAGGAATTCTTAAACGAAGCTTAAAATCAAATGATTTTCCTGCTGTAATTGGACCACTAACAATTTGTCCTGTTCTGCATGTTCCCGAATGACTCCATACATCTTCATGTCGAGTCTTTGAGAAAACATCTACTTTCTTTATTTGTTCGGTAGTTTGTGAGTTTGAAGTTATATATGCTTCTTCTCTTGCGTTGTCTTGAGAATATACGATACGACCATTTGCAAGGATTTGATATCCAGCAACTGCATAGAAAGCGTCATCGAAACCAATCCAAAATCCTGGTGGGTTTGTTTTATTGGAACCTGAACCAATTTCTTTATCTACAATAAATTGACCTTCCATTTTATACGTAATGAATGTATTGTAAAGGTCCAACATATTTTCACCAGGAGGTGAGAGATTGAATGTTACCCATGTGTTATCTTTAGCAGTTCCAGGTTGTGATGGAATCTTTGCGTCAGAATATTTTCTATTAGTGTCACCAATTTGAACTGCAATGTCTATGATATCGAAATATGAGCGAATCTGATGAATATGCTCTGCTGGAGTAAATTCGTTTAGCTGTTCGTTCTGCATGTATTTACTTCAGATAAAAATATCTATTTACTTCATTATTCTCACTCTTCTTCTTGGCATTCGTGGTGGAAGTTGTTTCTTGACATTTTCAATGAACTGTACATTCTCTTTTGTCTCAACTTCTTTCACTGGCGGGTCAGGATTCTTTGACTCGGTTTGTTTTTCAATGAAATTCACGAACTTTGCAATAAGCTCTTGGTTCGTTATTGAAAGTACATCTGGCTTCTTTTCTTCTGGTTCTATTGACTTTTCAGTTTGAATAGAAGGCTTAACATGGGCTTCGCCCTCGGTGCCATGCACCTTAATGTTGTCGCTTTCTGCATTCGCTAATGGAACCTTTCTTTTTCTTACGTATATTTTACCATCTTTACTCTGACTTACGTAATAGAAAGGATGTTGTATTCCTCTTGCGTCATTTAATATAATAGACTCTCGCTCTGATTTTGACAAGCTCATTTTACATCGGTTAAAGTTTTAATTTTGTTTTTTTATCTGCAGTCAAATGACTCAGACAATAGATGTTGAAGCATTGAAGAAAGAAATTCGTGAGCAAATTTTATCCGAACTGAAGGAACAAAAACAAGAACAAAAGCCAGAGAGACCAAAGAGAAAACTTAGTGAAAACAACTTGCTGCATTAGCTGCTGGAAGACAAAAGAACCCAAGACTACTGGCGAAAAAAGCTAGAGAAGAAGCTGAAGCAAAAGCTAAAGAAGCTGAAGCAAAGAAAGAGTAAATGGGTTATTTTTATCGGAACTAAATGTATAGACAAATACCTTTATCTGTTGCGTTCAGTAGTGAAAACCCTGACGTCAAAATAAAGGGGAACAGAGTAACGTTTAAGTTTCCAACAGACTGGATTGTGAACATAAATGAAGAAAAATATATTGGCATAACAAATATGTACATTACGAGAGCATTTAGGAAAGTTGACTTTATACTTCAAGTCGAGATAGAAAATGACAACAGTCTTTAAGCGCCCAAAACATTCACATATACAAATACTTTAAAGACGATACAACATTGTTGCAATGTATGATTTCATTTAATGAGATGTTCGAGAAAAAGTTCAACATTGAAGTACAAACTTTACAGCCTTTACGTGAGTTTCTTGCACAACTGAAAGAAGAAGGTAGTCAGCCACAACTTATAGACTTTCATTATGAATTTAATGAAAATGAAGATGGAACACATGACTGTCAATTCATTGTATTCTCACCATTCAATGAAGTCGCTAAAGAGAAAGAAAATCCATTACGTATAAGATTTCAAATCTCTGAACCAAGTGATGATTTCAAGAATGTTTTCAATTATGATGCAATGCTTCCGAGGAAAAATGAATTTTCAAAGATTGTAACACCTGGCATTTGGGATAGAAAGCAAGCTATTCTTTTCTCTAATATAGCCAAAGGCGTTGAAAATGAGTTCATTGGTCATACAAGAACTTCACCACTTCCTAACCCTAAATACTATAAATTAACTGGCTTCAATCGTGAGTTTTGGATAGACATGTTCTCCACTCATGACCATAACTGCCCAGTGTTCTTACCTCCAGACCATAAGGACTGTCTCTACATTGAAGCACAACTCTTAAACTCTACCATCGCAGTATTGTAAATGACCACATGGGCTTCGCCCTTGCCGCTAGCGGCTTATTTTTATCATGAATGGTCTCACTGCTGACAAAAATAAATGACCTCATTATTTTTCTCATTCATGACCTCAGAACTTAAGCTTTCTTATGAATGAAGTCTTAGTCTGAATAGAAAAGTTAAACTTTTCAGCAAAGCAAGGACTAGAAGACTTACATAAGTCGAATGCAATCTCTTGACCGTCATAAAGTGCTTTATATAACTTCATAACACTGAACTCAGAGTCTTTGTCAAATTTTCCTTGCGGAACCATTAAACCTTTATCTTCATCATAGAAACACTGAACAGAGTCAGGAAACATTTCATTTGCGGTTAAAGCAATAACATCTTGCTTCACGCCTTTCATTCTGCAGTGAAATGCAACTTCATTTAAATCGTTAGTGAGTAAGTCTATGTAAGTCTTCTTTCCACAGAAAATACTTTTATAAGCTAAACTTTGTTTATCTTTTGTGATTTCTGCAAAGTCGCTATGAAATTGACCAAGGTTCTTTCCTATAAGTTCGCGACCATATCTCTTCTGAAATTCCAGAGCTAAACGAGGGATGTCTTCATTGTAGAGATGCATACTGTCCGTATCGCTATAAAAGATGTCCATTCCTAAGTCCTCAGCAGTACAGAATACTTCACACATTATTCTCTTCGACATAGATAGAATATTTACACCAAGAGGACAGAAGTTAAAGTGTCTGCAAATGCTTTTCGTTAGCTTGAAAATAATATTTAATGTTTTATCTGAACCATCCAACCCTTCGAACTTCACTATATGGTTGTAGTTTCTTATAGCATATCTTATAGCATCTTTGTCATCTACTATGGTTATTTTGACTCAATAGGAGATAGAATAGTTTTGCCATAAATACTGTTCAGAATGAGCTTTATATTTTCTTGCAAAGGATCCTTCTTTCTTATACTTTAACCTTAACTCAAACAACTTCTTTACTTCATCTCTTATTCTAATATCTCTGTTTCCATCGTAATAGTATCCTTGCAACACTTTCACATTTGACACCTTTGATATTTTATGAGGTCTTGTAATTTATATGGTCAACATACATTAAACAGCAAGTGTTTGAACTTCTGGGAACGTTAAGTTCTGGATTTAGTTCAGGGTCACAAACTATTAAAGGAAAGTGTCTATGTATGCCAATCTCTTTTATCTTAATGAGAACAAAGAAGCCAGACATAAACTTTTCACCAATGGGTTCCTTTTGGTCGTCATCGAATAAATGTCTCATGAGATACTCTGTGCTTAACATTTCTTCCTTCAATACTTTCGGTATACCTTCTAAAGTATAGAGTCTTGCAATTGCTGAAGGGTATAATGAAACAGCGTCGAAGTCAGCAATGAGTTTCTTTTTGCTCTTTTGTTTCATGTTATCTGACAGCATACATCTTCCACCTTGAATGCATCTCGAAATAAATTCTCTTTGTTTATTTGAGAGGTCATAAAGATTTCCATTCGGGAAGTATACTCTGTTCTCAAACAATTTGTTAGCAATAGAACAAATACTAACGTAGTCATATACGTTTAAATCAAACTCTTTCAATAAGTCATTTCTGAACTTTACAAATCCTTCTCTTAAAATTCTTACATCTTGTTTGCAATAAAATGAGCTATATTTTTCTAAGTCGAAGTGGTTCTCATCTATTCTGCAACCTTTGATGGAATCTATGTTCTTCATGAATGTATCCGCATCCTGGATAAACTTGCATGCTTCAGAAATGACACCAGTTCTGTTGTCATTCATGAGCAAAGTACTGCTGTAGTAGTTGTAAGGAAATACTTCTTTCGGGCCAGTTTGTAAGTTAAACATAGCAGGAAATAGTTTAAGCTTCTTATTTATAACACTGTAAGAGTCTTTTATAATAATAGCCCTTCCTTTATATAAACCAGTTATTTGCATTGTTCGTGAACCTTTAATGATGGGAGTTCCTTTCACTTCTGTCATGTGTCTTAAGATAAAGTTTATGTCATAGCTGAGGTTGTGAAAATATACTAAACTCTTGTCAGGAAGTCTTTCCAAAAATTCTGTTGCACAATTCTGACCCCAAATGCTTTCACTCACTGAACCATCTTCACTGTCATAACAGATGTTAAAAGCTTTATGAAAGCCGTCTGTGCTACACTAAAAGTCAGCAAAGAAAACGTGCTCAGGAATGAACTTGCACTTATTTTTATTTACTTCTTTTGACTCGGCTTTCTTCTTCAGTTGTACACAATACTTTGGAGCATATGTCAAATCTTTAAATGGTGCAAGGTTCTGTTTATATAAGTCAGTCGTATATATGAAAAGTTCTCCATAAGAAATAGGTTCGAAATATTTGCACCCCCACAATGTTTTCATAATATCCCATAACGGTGTTGTTCTATCATAACGAACTACATATTTATCTTCTCTCTTTGTATAAATCTTCATCTGTTTCTCAATGTTCATTCCACCACAAGCTTTGAGAATTTCTTTATAGTTTCGAATGAAGTATGTTGTCATTGGAAGTCTTTCATTTAGCATGTAGTGGTCTTCAACAAGAAGTAAGTCAATAGTTCTAACAGTTTCACATTCTTTTGGTATATATCTCTTTATTTCATTATGTCTTGAGTCATTGAAATAACCAATGGTAACATTAAATGCTATACCTGTTGCGTCAGAAATTTCTTGTACTTTACTTTGAGGAAAGTCTCTAACACGAATGACTTCTCTCATGTGGTCAATAGTCTCTCCATCTACTCCAGCCTGAATGCAAGCATAAACGAAACAATTGTCCTCTGTCATAAGTGTTGCAGTTCTTTTGTTCAGTTCATTGAAAATTTGATAGCGTTCAAGATTTATAGGTAATGTGCAAAGATACTTCCAGAACTGACCGCTTCTCTTTTTATAAAACTTCCTTTCACCATTATCTTTCCAAAAGCTTTCTATAAGTGCTGGGTTTCCTGTTTGCTTAAGAGCTTCCAAAATGGCTTTCTGGTCATTTGTCAGTGTGCTTTCATCTCTATAGGGTCTCTTTTTTGGCTTTCCTTTCTTAACATCTGACATCGTTAAGCCTTCATATTCTGTTAAATCATACATCTTTATTTCAGTAAGATTCTTTATGTTTGTCAAGAAGAAGTCATAGTGCATTTCAACAATACCTGCAGCATTTGCTTCAATCTCTGTTATAAAGTTCTCCTTCAAGAGCTGATGTAGTAATGTTCCAATATTATTGAGGTTTAACGTAGAACATTCATACTTTCCACCAAGTTTATAACATACCATCCATCTTTGTTGGGAGTTTATTTTAATCTTCTCTAAGAGTCTCATGAAAACCTTACCCAAATGTTTGTGTAAGTAGTCTCTGTTTGGTTCATCTAAAGCTTCGATGTTAAAGTCAATGAGTCTATTGCCTGTCTTAACATTCCTCTTCCTATTCTCTTCATCTTTCTTTAACCATCTCTTACCTTCTTTTGGTTTGTCGTCAATGGAACGAATGACATCATTAGCTTTGCGAACTTGTTCTATAGCGCTCTTAAACATCTCTCTTCTCTGTTGTTTCAGTGTGTCGTCTCTCTCGTGTTTCACCAACGTTCGCATTTGTTATGTCAAACATTTCTCTTCTTACTTCATGTGGTACTGAACGTCTATGATATAAGTCAATAGCAACATCATTTAAAGGAAATGCTCTTGCATAGACTTCGTCCTCGCCGTGTTGCGGCTTTATGAACTCATGAATTCTATCATAACTTATTGCACCATTGTAGTCATTGAGGATGTCAGCGAGTGATTTTTTGTTTGTCGCGTAATGTTTTGCTACTTCTATGTTAGCTTCTGTAAGAAGTTGTTTTATTTCCGAGTGTTCTAACTTAGACAACTTCCGATACATCTTTAGTAGGAAATTAAAAAATTTCTTAGAAAAAAATTAGCTTAGATTTTTTAAGGCTAGTTTTAAAATATTTCGAACTTTTTATTATAATGAAACACATGCAAGATTGCAAGTTCTTTTCATACAATGCTCTCGCTACTGCCATCAAGAATGAGTTCAATGGTGCTTCAAATGTTAATGTTATCTTTAACAAGAAGTTTGTGAAAGAATCTAAGTTCGGTCAGTATGTCAGACCATTAGCTATCGTCATTGACCGCAAACGTTATACTTCACAAGAGTTAGCAGTAGTTTTGAAACAAAAGAGTTTCTTCGTGAATGTCAAAGATACTCATTATACTGTTATAAAGAACTCTAACGTTGACTTCTTCAGTATTGCTATGAATCTTTCCGAACAGAAAGAATATAAGAAAGGTGAAACAAATGTGAAATATTATCCTTCATCTCTGAAAACAATAACGAACAAAGATGTTATACAAAAGTTCTTACCAAAGGTTGAAGAAGCTTATATTGACATTGACGAAGGAAGTGAAATGGTTGAAGAAATAGACCCTGAAGCTATTTAAGCAAAAATATATTTTTGTATAAAATTCCAAACAGTCAGTCAGTCGTCATTGACTGACTGTAAAAAATAATTTCAAAGCATTGAACAAAAAAAATTATTTTTGTTCATTCTTCCTCTTTGAAGTTATCGAAATATTCTGTTATTTTTTCCTTCAGTAATGGTAAGTCTTCTTTGAATGTAAGTATTGTGCAACCTTTGATGTCATAGTGTGTTTGAGGAAGAGTATTTTTGACAATTTCCTTTATTTGCTCATTCGGAGTCATTGAAATCGGTAAGTTTTCACGATAGAACCAGTTTCTGTCAGATTTATATATCTTAGCTAAGTCATAAAAGCTCTTGTTGTTTCTTCTGACTAAATGTAACATAACCATATCTTTATCTTCTTCATTTTCCATCTCTTCAGTATATATCATATACTTATAGCTCTTCTCCTTTTGGTACCGAACGTGGTATTCTTTTCTGTATATTTTTATCTTTATCTTCAATGACTTCATCTTTTGCTTGAAGTTTCTTTTCCATCTCTTCACGTTCTGCTTTATATAGTTCATCTAACATCATGAAAATATAACAAGCATAACGAGGTGAAGCCCACATTGCTACAGCATTTACTAATAGTCTATGAACATAATAACCTTTCAAACCAGGAGCCAAATTCTTGCGATTTTCGTACGGAATCTCTTCTCTCGGTTTTCCGAGGGAAGCAATCATATGAGGAAATTTTCTAAAAGTTCTTTTGTCTGTTGGTTTTCAAACCAATGATATGCTTGCTTTGTAGAACGAAGAGCATTCATTATACTTTGCATTTGATACATATCATCTTTGACTGAACGAATGAGACGTAACTGTTTGTTATACTGTATGTACTCGTATTCTTCATTTATGGCTTCATGAACGATAGCAGTTGTTGTGTTCTCTAATGTTGTCATTACTGTCTTTACATACAAAATAAAAAAATAAATAAAAAAAATTCTAACTTTATTTTTTCTGTCTTAAAGAAATGTTAAAAATTCATGATTTTCATGAAGTTTGGTCATTTTCAACATAACCTTCATTGCATGAAAAGTGTCATATATAACATATATATGATATTTTACTAATAAATATGTAAGCGGCTCAAAGCTCAGTGGTATGGACTCCCTTGTCATAGGTGTCGAGGACCTCGGTTCGAGTCCCGATGGTGTTCAGGTTTTTCCTTTTCTGCAAAAAAATGAGAGAGCATTGAATTTGCAAGTACAAAGGGTCTATTTGGTGTTAGACCCTAGCGAAGAAAATATGGTACTGGAACGATAGAAGTTTACATTTTGTAAAGTAGAACGATAGAATTTACTAACTGACGTCGGTTCACGTCCTGACTGACGTCGGTAGAGACCATGACTGACATCGGTATGGAATGCTCTCAAAATCTTCGAAATTGAAAGGTTTATGGTCTCGTAAACGAAAAAGGGGATTTGACGGAGTCAAATCCCCGCTCACAAAAAGTGGATTTTACATGTCAAATTTTATATGCATGTAATGTCCAGTTTTATGAGTTTTAGGAAGGAATTGGAAGCCATGAGTTACTGACATTGCATCAGTATCTCATAGCCTCCAATTCCTTCAAAAAATGGGAGAAACTTTGTCCGAATAGTTTAACATTCGGACAAAGTTTCTCCCATTTTAAGAAGGAATTGGAGGGTAAGAGATATACCATATGAATGTATATCTCTTACCCTCCAATTCCTTCTAGAAAGTGTCCAAACTTTGGTTAATTGCAAACTATTAACCCAAAGTTTGGACACTTTCAAGTGGAGATGGAAGGCTTTGGGGTATATATTAATACAATATACCTCAAAGCCTTCCATCTCCACTACAAATGGAGAAACTTTGTCCGAATAGTTTAACATTCGGACAAAGTTTCTCCCATCTTTCAATGTAATTGCTACCTGTGAGGTACTGACTTGAAGTCAGTGCTTCACAGGTAGCAATATCCAAAAATTTAAAAACATTTTATCAGTTCGTTAGAGAACTAGAGCCTCCTAGGTACTGAACCAGAATCAGTGCCTAGGGGACTCTAGTGATCTATATAAATCTGAGAAACTTTGAGGAAATTGTTCGACATTAGTTAGTATACAAGTCTTGGGTACTGTGGCACTGCGTTCCACCTTACCCAATACTTGTGAATTTGACACTTTACAAAGCCGCCAACCACTTCACTTCACTAACGAACTCACTAATGTAAAAATAAACGTTCTCACTATCGTTCTCACTAACAACTTCACTAATGTTCTCATAAATTTTCCTCAATATCTTCATCATCAGTGTTAACCCTATTGTAGTCATACTTGAAGCCATAAACTTTCTCTAACTTCTTAACGTACAATTTACATAACTTACCTTCGTCATCGTATGGTTTAATGATATAACTATTTCTATCTTTATAAACAGTCAATGAAAAGTCAACTGGTCTCGGATGTATTTGAAAGAACATGTTATGCTCAGGAAGGAAGAATAAATGTTTAAATGTATGTTTGTTATATGTTTTGATTTGTATGAGTTGCTTTTGTTCTGTCATTACATCCAAATAAAATAAAAATAAAATAAAAAATAAACTTAAAATTAATGATATCACCACCCTCACACGTATGAAAACATAGCACAAAAATAATGTTTATGTTAGAATGTTAGATCTAACACGTTTTCTAACCTCATTTCTAACCTGTTGAATTCATTGCTTTATAACTCTCTTCCTTGGTTTCTTTTTAGTTGCTTTCTTCACGTCTGTCTCCAACTTGACTGTCTTTCTTCTTCGTCCGTAATGATACCAGTTACTTCCACCAGTCAATGGGTCAAATGGTCTTTCGTAAGGTTTCCATACATTCCATAGGGACCATACGGAAGAACTACTGGTGGAGAAGAAACATTTTCTTTAGTTCCATCGAATCTATTTAAATGCATTGTTTCACCTTTCATCTGGTCATTAAAGTCTTTTGCGTGTTTTGCAAACTCATCGTCCTTTCCTAAAGCATTTTCTGACTCAGTCGCAACCAAATTGGATGCTTTATTTATGAGCCCTATTTTATTTAATCTTAACTTCTTTGCAACCCAGCCTCCAATCTTTCCCTTTATTTGCATCTAATGTCTTCGAAACCCTTCCTCCACTCATTTTATTTACTGCGTCATAAGCCCAAGTGCTTTTGCTCCAAATGCTAATGCTTTTGTTCCCATTGCGCCTAAAGCTGTCCAAGCTACCATTTACACCATATTAAAATCATCTCTCTTCAATATTATCTCATAAAAGTTCTCGTTACTGGAGAAAGTCAATGAAACATAAACATTCTCATTCATAAACTTCTTTCTTATCTCATCTATACGCTTCAAAATGTCTGAACAATTGCTAACATCTTCTACAACAGTTATTTCATCATGAATGACCTTCAAGAACAAGCTCATTTAATATGCTATTAAAATCATCTCAATAATGAGTCCATCCTTTCCATCTTTAGGTAGCACAACATCTTTCATTGAAGAAGGTTCGACAAGTCTTATGTTAAACTTACTGACAAAGTTTGTTATACTATAATGCTTCGGTGGCGAATACATGTAGTTTGAAAGACATAATATAGATTCTTCAGCAAATTCACTTATACTGGATTTTATAACAATGTTCTCACGAGACCAAATACCACCAATTGACAATCTTGTAAGCAATCCTGCTGAACCTTCTACTGTAAACGTCGATGGTAACATTCCACGAAGGTCATCTATTGACATTGTTGAGTCACTGAATTTAAATATTTTCTTAAAGCAATCGTCATTATCTAACCATGCAATAGCTTTGAAGTTTTCATTCGAATATACATCTGCTTCATTAAATGTAAACCTGACTTCTTTGCAGAGATGACTTTAAAATCTATTGATTTGTTTCAAAATTATATGCTATGGTAACTTCTGAAGGTAATGGATGCCCTTCCGCAGTCAGTTGTTCTCTCACTACCGTTTGAAGCTTTGTGTTAAAAACTTTCATGTCATCTCCTGTGTCTAGGTTCACATACACAGCAACAGGAAACTATCTTGCTTCTTTGTTTCATCATTATATCTCAAAACATTAAAGTTCTTCAATAATATTGTTCTTCCTGCTGGAATACTTCGAACCTGTCTGATTTCAATAGC